ATAAATCCTCGATTGAACATTTCCAATCTCTGTTGTAATACTGTAATACTTAATTATAAAAATAATTGAAATAAAATCCTTAAATAATATTTTGTCATCGATTATTTTAATCACCCCGAGAAATATGTTTCGCAATGGTCCACTCGGTGGAGGAGAACTAAACGGAGGTTTTAAATTATTTGTTTTAACTTGTTCGCACAATTCTGATAATATTTGATTCCTGCTTTGTCTTTCCCATTTTCCACATTGTTCCAATTTAGAAAGCCATAATAAACAAAGTTGAGCATCTGAAATATTTAAAAAAAAAATGTTTCATTCCCGTATTTTATTCAGGAAATAATACTAATGTAAACAAAAATTTTATTTTGGAAAATAATAATAAACATAAACAAAAATTTTTGTTCGATTTTTATAAAAAAAAAAAAAAAAAAAGGCATAATAATGAAAATTACCTTTTGTTTTGTTTAGTTGATCAATTAATGGTCGAATATTTGATAAAAGATATTTATATTCCGTCGTCAATTTGAAATCATCATCGTTACTATCACAGCTCATATTATTTGCAACAATTCATTCCCTTGAATGAATAATAAATATTTATTTCATTTAATATATTTTTTTTTTTTTTTCAAAAATTGGCTATGATATTATATTTGGAAAAATAGAACGCTTAAATGTTATTACATAATTTCTTTTTTTTTTTTTAAATTTCATTTTCTAATTATTTATCAATCACTTGAAATTTTTTTATATAAATTTAAACTAAAGAAAAAGTTTTGGATAATATTTACAATAACTAAATAAAAAAAAAAAAAATTAGGAAAATTATTTTGTAAAACTTACATTTAAATAAACACACACAAAAAAAAAAATAAAAATTTTTTTTTTCTTTTTTTTTCTTTAACAATCCATTTCGTAGGGCAAATATGGTTTTTTATAAATTTTTAATGCTTCCTCGACAAATTTTAAATTTAATGCAATTTGCTCATCTGCTGTTTGTATAACATCTAATATTTTTTTTTTTAATGGTAATATATATGTACCTATCCATTCCGTAACGGTATCATCGAAAAATATGGTACACATGTGATTTTTTAAAAACTTTTCAATATCATTTAATTCTCCTAAATGCCTAAAAAATCCCGAAAATATTTTCATAAATTTTATTATCATTTTTTTTTTTAAATATTTAAGTCTGTTATAAACTTACATGTTTAATACAGGTACTAAAGATACTAATTGCATTGGATTAACGAGACCATTTGAAACCTGCCATGAATTCATCCAAGTATCTATTCTAAATATAAATAAAAGTTTCGATTTTTTTTTTTTTTTTTTTTACTTATTTTTGATGTAAATTTATAATTATTTATTATAAACTTACTGTTCACTGCTGAGTGTTAAATTTATAGATTGCCTAACATTCATGAATTTAGAAATCCCAGAAAGAATTTCCCATCCTAAAAAAGTAAAAGTGAAAGGAACATTCGATAATCTACATAAAGATGTCACCTCATTTTTATAACCCAAATCTGCTTCTACTCTAGATATCGTAGTCGAATCAAAATTTTTTTCTTCAACAATAAGTAAACACACTCCCAACGAAGGTAAACTTGTAGGAAGCAATTCACAAAGAGCAGAAAAGTGATCATATCTAAACAATATTTAAAATACTATCACTATCACTATTGAAATCTTAGTATTGTAAATTATTATAAAATGAATTCAAACCTTGACCACCCTGTCAATGCTATTCCACGATAATTTGTTTTTAATTGATTTACTAAACACATCCAATGTAAAATATTGCTTGCATGATGATTTACAACAGGTAATAGTTGAGATCCACCAGTAGCTCCCTTAAAAGCACCTGCTACCCAAATATTGTCAAAATAAGAATATTTTCTCATCAATTCAGGTGGCAAATTAAAATTTTCAGCAGGACTGTAGTGCCAGACCATAGGTTCGACTAAACTTTTCAAATTGTAAGCTTAAATAAATTAATTTCAAAATGAAATATTTGTATGTAAATATGACTATATATATAATAATTTTCATATAAATAATTACTTTGTAATGTTGCTTCTTCAAAATCTCTTAACATGTCATCCCACATAATCACATTAATTTCAGGCCAATTAAGTTTAATGAATTCGACAACTTTTTTTACATGTTTTAAATAAAGATCCTCTTTTGTTTCACCATTTTCTAATCTGCTTTTGCAATTTTCACATAAGCCCATGTGCCACACTTCATCAGCACCAATATGTAAAAACTTTATACCCACATGAAAATCAATTATTTGAGTTAATAAACTTGTTACAAGTTTAAAAGCATCCGGATGGCTAGGGCATATCGAACTAGGAAACAAAGGAACTTCCCTAAATTGAACATATTCTTTGTGTTTTAAAACAAACTGTAAAAAATTATTTTAAAATATTGTTTAAAATGTTTTTTTGTTTTAAAAATTTTTTAATATTAAAACTAACAGGCTTAAAATTTACAGATCAGATTTTAATGTTTAAAAGAAACATCAAATCATTTTGCTTTAATTACCTCTAAATGGCCAAAAGTCTGAAAAAGTGGAATAACTTCTAATTTTGCATCTCTGGCATCTTGTAATATTTGAATGGCATTATCCACTGAATAAAATTTATTAGTAATAATTTCAAAATCATTTTTAAAGGGAAAGCAATCCTCCCATTCTATAATAATGCCAGTTGCTCCCCATTTTGTAAATAATTGATACAACTAAAAGTGGTAAATGAAATGTTAAAACTAATAAAAAAGTTTAATTAAATATAAAGTTTATTGTTTTGTCATAATTATTATTTCCTCTAAATAATTAATAAAAATTCAACAAACATTTTTTAAGTAATCAGGTTTAGGAGGTGCTCCTTTTAAATCTAAATGAACAAGCCTGTGATTTTTTAAAGAAGTCATTTTTGTTACAAAAATAATTTTTCTAACTTGTCATATAATAAAGTAAATGAAAAGAACACAAATAAAATTACGTTTAAGGTTGTGTGTTCTGTTTTGTAAACTAAAATTATTTTACTTTAATTTTAAAATAACATTAATTTTAATAGTCAACAATTTTATTTTATATAAATAATTAAAACAAATCAAAAATTTTTTTTATATAAAATTATTGCGCCGATCAAAACAAATTTTTTTTTGATTCAAATTGGAATTTAGTTTTAAGAAATATTACAGAATTACAAAATTACATTTAATTACTCTATGAAATTTTTGTAAAAAGTTTTCCCGCCTAAATTCTTTTAATTTTACCTTTTTTGATAATTTTAACATTAAATTCGTTTAAAAAACAGAAAACTCTTTTAAAAAAACCTCTAAAAGCAACCTAAAATAATTTTTAAACTTATTTTACTCAGCTGAGTTAATTTTTTCCTTCTAAATTTACTTAAAATACGTTTTTAACGAGATTACAAATTTTTTTCTGGCAAAATAATTATAAAATCTTACTAATATAATTTAATAATAAAACCTTGTCAAATAAAAAACCCTTCATTTGATCATTTTATTTAAATATTAGTAAAAATGATTAATGATAATTTTTTTTCCACTTTAATTTTCATTTTGAAAACTTTTTTTTTTTTACATAACAATTAAAACAAATGCAAGTTTGTAAATAAAATAATTTCTAAATTATTTGTTAATATTACCATGAATTTTTGATCTATAAGGTTCCTTTTTTTTTTTTTTTTTTAAGAATAAATTTTTTTTAAAAATTTTTCGTTTTAAAATTTTTTGTAAAATTAAAAAGAAAATATTTCTCTAAAATGGCTTGTAAAATGTGCTCAATGTGTGGCGGTCCAACACAGTGAGTATATAGATAATATAATTTTTAAATATCCTAAATTTTGAAATTAAAAAATTTCACACTGTTTCCTTACATTTGTATCTCATTTTAATACAAATTTTACTTTTAAAATATTTTCAGACAGCCAAATTTTCAAAAATTAGTAGATCCTTATCCGAGGGTAAGCAAAATAAAATAATTTTTTTTTTAAATAAAAAAAAAAAAATATTTATTATAAAACCTTTTATTAAATAAAATTTTCAATTATATTAGAACTACGACACCATTCTCGGAAGTGAACCAAGAAATTGTGCAAGACTCAACCCATGTGCAGGAAATTTGGGACCCCCAATTCAATTATGCTTACCAGCTGTTTATTCGTGTCCAGCTTCTAATCAAGGTCGTCACAATCCAGGACAACAGCCGTGTGTAGTGAATGTACCTCGTGATTGTCCCAAACCATGCCCGCAAATCATATGTGAACCTTGCCCTCCTCAACCTCCAACTAAAGTTTGGCTAATTAAATCTAGTCCAATGCCACAGAAAGTAGGGTTAAGCAGTTTATTGCTGTTTCTTCTGGTAAAATTTTTAAAAATTTTCCTCCAAGTCTAATCCTCTGAAATATACAAAGAAAAAGAAAAAAAAAAGCAGAAAAAGCACAAAAACAAAAAGGCTATAAGTATTTTCAGGGAATTAGATTTGGTAATTTTTTTAATTTTAATGTTTAAAAATTTTATTTTTTAGAGTTTCGCCATAGCTCAACCACCTCCTTGTATACCTATATGCAATCAGCCTATTTTCATTCCTTGTCAGCGACCATGTTAGAAAATATTAGGAATAATAATATTAATATTTAGGTAATAATATGTTGCTTTTTTTACAATTTTTTTTTTTTTTTTTGTCATACAAATTCCTTATAATATATGATGATTAAAATTTTTTTTATCAAAACAACAATTTATTTAATTTTTTTAAATTTATTTAAAAAAATACCCCCCCTGATATGTATTAGTGTATTGCTTTAATTGAATCATGATTTTATTTTTTTCCCGCCAAAAATAAATTGATATTGCGATAAAATTTCAAAATAATCTATATATATATATAATTTTTTAATTGATTTTTCTTAAAAGCAACATATTATTATTTCAGGTTAAATTATAAATTATCAGAGTTAAGTTCTTGAAAAATATTACAGAGTTGCTGTATTCCAATTGGAGGAGGACCGTCTTGCTCTGGATACAATTCTTCACAAGCAAAGATTATGTTGTGTTTACCTTGCAGCCCACAGTTGACGGAAACCAATCCTCAAAAAAAGGTAATTATTATTAATAAATATATATAAATTAAATAAAAAAAAAACAAAAATAATTATCCTGCAAATGTAGACTCATTGCACAAATGATATGCACGGTTACATTAAGTAATCTTGGGTTTTTTTTTTTTTTTTTTGGAAATTTTTCTGTGGTGCAATGAGGTATCATAATTTTCAGGAACCTATAAAAAAACCTATAGGAATAATAACGCGTTGTAAAGAGTTGGATCTTATTGGAGGGAAATTTGTAACTAAATGCGTCTGTGGAATGAGAAACGGACTGGGAGGAGATAACTGTCCTAGAATCAGTTGTCAGAAAAATCCTGGTTGTAAAATGATTCCTCCTCAATGTTGGCCACAGTTTAAAGAACCAAAAAAACCTCCACCTCCTCCTCCAGATCAAGAAATGATTTATGTGCCCATTGAATTAGTTTATGCTCAACCACCGCTTTCTTCCTAGGTTTGTGGGATAAATACTTGCGGCAACAAGAAAAATGTTGGGAAATATTTACCACCACCGGCAAAAAGAATTTGTCCGCCTCATTGTATACACAGATCTGATTTGAAAGGTGGGAGGCCTTGTACATGGTATGAAGGGATTCCTTGCATAGCTCATTGTTTTGAAACGCCCAATGATCCCAACTCAAAATGTTAAAGAAATTTATTATTATTATTATTACTATTTTTTTTTTTTTTGTTAAATTTTAATGTTATGAATTAATAGAATGTCTTGATTTTTGTGTAATTACCTCAATTTTTTTAAAAATATTACCGTCATAAATTAATTTAAATATAAGTATTATTCAATCACATTAAAATTGTTGTTTGTCTAAATTAACTGATGGTAGTAAAAAGTTAACGGAATTTTTCAATGTTTTTTTAATACATCGTGTCATTAGAAAATGTTATTCAACCAATCGATTTAGCTAAAAATAAAATTAAATATTTTGCCACGATGAATTAAGTAAAAATAACATAAAAACGATAATTTTTAAATTAATTAATATGAATCTGACTGCGAAAGCTTGTTTAGTCGTTGGTAATTTTATTAAGGTTATTTTTTTTAAACCATTTAATATAAAAAAGACATTTTTTTTTTTTTGAATCCCCTAATGATATATTTGTCTGAAACCATATTTGAACAACAAGTGTTTTTACAAAAAATTAAAAAATTTTTAACTTCATTAACTTATTTTAAATAAAAATTCAAAAAAAAATTTACTTTGCCTAAATATACGCATTTAGGACACATTTACACGTTAGAAAAATAAATCCGTCAATGTTTCATATTAAATTTTAATTCTAATTTTTTAATACCTTATTTGACAAGTATTTACTCATATTTTAGGAGCTCTTTCATTGGGTTTTGTTATGATAAAAGTATTGAAAAGAAAGTTGGACGATAAGAGTAAGCAACCAAAAGAGGACAATGATGATAAGAATTCTTCTGATCAAAATTTAAATGAGAATCAAACAAATGATAATTGTCCAGACAAAAATTCTGATGCGAAAAAAATAAAGGATAATTCTTTAAATTCAAAGAATAACATGAAGGTACTTAAATTAAGACCAAATTTTTTTTTGGGATTACAAGTTAGCAATACAGAAATTCATAAAAATGTTAAAAACTTACAAGAAAAAATTATCCATAGAAACCCAAAATTGCATTCTGCTTTAGTTAATGTCTCGACCCTTCACATAACTCTTGCAGTTACTCATTTAGCTAATCAAAAAGAAATTCAATTATTAAAAGAAAATCTTGATACTTGGGCTCAGAATAACAAAAATTTATATTTTATTGAACCTATAGTTTTAAATTTTAGTGGGGTAAATTGTTTTAATAAATCAGTAGCATATGTTAATATTCAAAAAAATAAAGATTATGAAAAAATTTGTAATCTTTCAAAGGACTTAAATTTAATATTAAGCGATCTCGGTTTTTCAACAGACCAAAGATCATTTACACCACATTTGACATTTTTAAAATTAAGTAAAGATTATAAATTATTAAGATCCAAAAAGAAATTTTTAAAAGATTTCGAATTTGCCGAAGAATGCATTGATTTTTTTGGTAAAGAACAAATAAGAAAATTACAATTGTTAAGTATGGATGAACCGAAAAATGAAAATGGATATTATAAATGTTTGCATGAAATAAAATTATCAGATGATAATTATAAAGCATCTGAAATGAATCACAGTGAATGTTGCACACCCATTCCTAAGCCGAACAAAAATTTGACCTAACAAAGCGATAAAACTGCCTTTATCGAACAGTGCAAAATTTTTTACAAAAAAAAGTAGCCATTTGTACTTTTAATATTTTTTAATGTTATTAAAAATATAATTTTATTTTTTTAAAAATTACTCAATGAATTTCACATTAACAATTAGTGAAAGTTTTTAAAATGCAATAATGACCATATTTGTAGTTTTTTATAAAATATATAAGTAATTTATTTTTATATAAAAAAATTTTTTTAATTCTAAATTAATAAAGCTTTTACAATAAATTTACAAAAAAAAAAAAATTAGAAAAGTATTACATTATTTTAAAAACAAACAAAACAATTAATAATATTTCAACATTATGATTTTTAGAAAATGGAAAAATTAACAAAGTCGAAAGAAAATTTAGAAAATTTTTATTTTTTGGTTTTTCTACCTTTGTCTTTTACTCATACATATCCAAATTTTTTTCATTACATTAGTATTTTACATCCTGAGTAGATTATTTATTTAGGCATACAAATATACTGAGCAATAATTTTTTCTTACATAACAGTTATTACAATATAATATTTCAAGTTAAATTAAATTTAGTTTTTTTTTTATTAGGTGTAAAAAATGCTAATAACTAAATTAAATATAAAACTATATATTTTGTTATTTTATTGATTTCTAATGAAGATGATGATAACAATTAATTATCATAAATAATAAATTATAAATGCTACTAATTTCTACACAATTTTCAATTTGTAATGATGTTGTAACTAGTAAAATTAAAAAAACAAAAAAATTAATTAATTAATTTATTAGTCATGTAATTATTGGCTAAATATACAATGATCCATCTGCTGGGCCTAAGTATCTTAGTGATATTAAAATGACATCAATCAAAGTCCAAACTCCGAGACCACCGAAACTAAATAATTTTCCTATGCCTTCTTGCCAATGTCCTAAGTAAAACCTATCAGCACCAAATCCTCCTAATGTTATACTTAATAAAAGAGCAGTTGACCACTTATAACCTCCAGTCCAATTACACAAAAGATTTTTATTAAAAGTTCTTTTTCCTAGGCACAAAACATCATCTTTCACTGTACAATTAGTTCTATAATAAACTTTCGGAGCTGCAACTGTATTGCAATTTGCTTTTAAAGTACAAACATGCTCCCAATGATTAGTTTGGTAACAATAACTGCAAGTCATTTCTCTTAAAAATTCCCTGTTTCCTTCACATTTTATGAGATTATCAACCGGCATACAAGTAACATTTAATTTGGCACCATAAACACATGAGAAATTAAATTTGCAAGACAAGCATGGAGCCGCAAGATCTTTACATAAATTATTCCCAGAACATTCTGATAAAATATTATTCTGGGAATGTAAGGGTTGTAATATATTGTCAATTCTTTTCATTTTCAAGACAATTTTTTTTAAATTGTCTTCATCTGCAAATAAAAAAATTTTTTGATTTTAATTAATTAAATTAAATAATATTTAACAAACATCATTTTAAAAACCAAAATAGGGTAATTTACTGTCATTTTCAAGCTATCATTCTTTGAACTGAATTATAATACTGGTATGAGTCTTTGTTTTTTTTTTTTTTTTTTATTGAATTAACAAAGAAAAATAATACAATGTTAAAAGCACCTTAAAAGTAAATATAGAATTTTTCTTTTAAATTTATCTTATCAGAAATTTCTTTGTTAAATCAAAAAAAAAAATTTTAATGGAAATGAAAAATGGATTCCTGTGTTACATGCAAAGAAGTTACATTTTTTTTTTTTAAAAAAGCAAATAATTTTTTAACAAAAAAAAAAAAAAAAATAGCTTGTATTAATCAGCAATATACATCTTTTGTTTTCTGCCTTATCATATCAGTGTACTATATCTGATCAAATGATTTAACAATATAAAAATAAAGAGTACGACAAATATTTATTAGAGTTGCATTGGACGTGTTAAAAATTTAAGTGTAAAGTATTTACTCGGTTCTGTGTGTTGAATACACTGACTCAAAAACATTAACGAAAAAATAGTTAAAAATTTTACTATGTATTGACCATCACAACGCATGTTATAGATTCTTCTCAATCAAATAAAGACAATACATTAACATTACCAACCAACATTCAGTACGGACAACATTAAATTAAAATTTTAACAGGATGGAAAAAAATTTTAATATACCTGTATTAGTAACCGGATTTGGACCTTTTGGAAATCATGAAGTTAATGTCAGTTGGGAAATTGCTAAATTATTACCAAGTTTAAATCTAAACGATTACGGTATAGATATAATCATTGAAGAAATTCCAGTCGCTTATTCCGAAGTTGATGAAAAAGTTCCTTCACTATGGAAAAAACACAAACCGCGGGTAAATTTTTATTTTTAAATTGAATATTTTTATCTTGCAAAAAAAATTTTATTTAAAAAAAAAAATAAATAAAAATTAGCTTTTAATATAATTAATAATTTTTTTTTCATTATTACGTATATAAATATTTAATTCTTACTTTTATCAAAGTAAAAAAACTATTTTTAAATTGACAGCTGGTTGTTCATATGGGATTAACAGGTACCGGAACAGGGATATATTTTGAAACGGTTGCACACAAAATGGGCTATGTAAAAAAGGATATTTATGAAAAACTTCCAGAAGACAATAGTGCTAAGGGTAGGCTTGATATTCATAGAACACTTTTGAATGTTGAATTGGTTGCTGAAACGCTTGTCAATTCTGTATTCAATGAAATTCCAATTCATGTATCTTCTAATGCTGGTAGATTTTTATGTGAGTATATTTTTTATACATCATTAAATATTGATCACACCAGAACAATTTTTATACATGTGCCAAATACTGACAAAGGATTTTCTGTAAAGCAAATGGCATTGGTAATAAGAGAAATAATACTACTGCTCATAAAACAAATTCACATAAATACCGAAGTGAAAATGCCCTAAAAAAAGTTTGTTAAAAATATTTTGTTAATCGTGTATTTACTTATAAAATTTAAAATTATTTAAATATTTATTAACTTTTATTTTTTTAAAAAATTAATGTGCTTATAATTAAATATAAATTAATACTGCAGCATAATATCTTTTTAGTTATTCATTTTCATTATGAAATTTTGTTTTCATGGGTGTAATATTATATTTAATATCCCTACTAAATGATCTTTTTAAGACTTGAGCTGCATGAGTGAGCTGTAAAGCACAATCTGGATGAGCTGATCCAGGTAGCAATGTACATTCCCTTTCAAAAATAAATGCCAATCCATCTAAAAGTTCAACAAAACCAAAACTGATGGCTGCTCTTCTAACTCTATTTAGCTCTTTGTAAAATTGTTGAGTTTTCTCAGGTAGTTTCCTGGCATGACGAAGAATTTTTTGAATATCACTCTGTAATCCCGCTTGCCTAACCCAAACAACAACATTTTGTGAATAACTCCTTTTATCAGCAGGTTTTACTGGTAATGAAGGAACATTTTCACTATTCTGGCATGAAGATGAATCTAAAAATTCTTCTAAGGGTCCTAAATAATTTAAATCACCTAGCCAAGGCACTGCATCTGAGCCAGGTTCCAAAACAGTCAACATTAAATTTGATTTTTTTTTACTATCAGCCCAAGAATACATTATACCAAACCAATCATCTGCAACGGTACACAGTGCTGCCATATTTTCAACTTTTAATGCACCATGTAAAAGAACACAAAAAGATGGAGTTTTTCCCTCGTCAATACATTCTTCGTCAGAATCTCCTTCTAATTTTGGCTTTGACACTTCTCCTTTACCAGATGGCTGTGGTACGATTAAATGTCTTGAAACAGCCATTGGACTCCCAACATCAGAAGTATCAATAAATCCACACACTTCAATTACATCAGAAAAAGTTTTAGTAACACTCTCAAAATCAGTAATTTTTGTGTAGGGTTGAGGAACGGGTGATAAACTAATTCTAGCAGTCAGATTACCACATTTTAGAGTACCATAAAATGCAGAAAAATTAGTTTCACAAAGTTTTTGAAAAACTGCTTGCACTGATTTAGAAGTTATTACTCCTCCTTCCGGCATTAAAACTGAACCTGCTTCATTGCCTGCATATTCAGCCAACCTGAATTTTTAAAAAGAATTTGTAATAATACTTTAAAAGTTAAATATAAATAATGTTTACGTAAAAGAAATGAATCAACAAACCTATGAAATAAATTGATTCCACAAGAAGACCCAATTCCTGGATTTAAACAAATTATATGTAATTTACCAGGGAATGGAAAAGGTAATGGAAAATTATTATTACTCTTATGATTGATATTATTCAAGTTTTGCTTTAAACTGAGTTGTCCTACTCCTATACTTCCATCGGTAATTAAAATAATTTGACAAGGTATTGAAGATCCCCAGTCAGATAAAATTAGTGAATTTACTCCAGCTAAACCTGATTCAATACATGTTTTATCTTGTTCTTCTATTTTAGGTAATTTAGCTCTAATTAATTCAAAATCTCTAGTAAAAGGACACAACACTTCATAAGATGATGAAAATGACATCTATAATAAAAACAATTATAATGACTATAAACATTTACCATAATAATAAAAACAGTTATGATATTATCAAAAAAAAAACTTTAGGTTGTTTTTTTAAAATAAAATAAAATTTATTTATTTAAATTAAATGACATACCAAAGACACAAATTCTAATTTTAAATGTGTCGTTAAATAGTCTAATAAAAAATTTATGCCATGAATGGCAAGTTGTAAAATCGTACAACTTTCTCCTGTATCAGCTTGAATTACAGGTCTTATCATAGAAAGAGATACATCTAATAAAATAACAGTAGGCATTTTTATTGATTAACAAATACATCAAATCAGAATTCTTGTAACATAAATACATTGAATTAATTAGAGATCATAGAGTAAATATTTACTCATTGACTTCCTGTAACGAATTACTTAGTAATGTTTATGAATGTATTGTTTATGTCAAATTATATAATAAAAGTATAAAAAAATTTGTGTTCAACGAAATCTTAAGATTTAAAAACACAACGAAATGTTATAAATTTTATTTAGAATTTGATTTTATTCATGTATATTATTAAACATACGTACATATATTCAATTGGTTTGAAATGTTTAAGAGGTTTCAAAATAATAAAAATTGATTATAATGAGTAAAAAAGAAATCGATTTCGATGAATCTGATAATGAAATATTTATTATAGAACAAGTAAAACCAATTAACAAATTAACGATACAAGAAGCTCTATTGATTAAACATCGTGTACTACATGAAAACAGGTCTAAAAGTAAAAAGAAAAAAGATAGAAACAAAGATGAAAAGAAATCTGACAGAGAAAGAAAAAAAATTAAGGAAAGTACCAAAGATAAGAATACTAAAGTCACTAAAGATACTACTACTTCAGTAAAAAAATATTTTTCTTCTACTAATATTATTTCTCAAGAATCTGAATATATAAAAAAAAGTTTCGATGATAAAACAGATGTTGAAATCTTAAACACATTTAAAGAGGATTCTTATGTAGAAATAAATGAATTAATTGTTAAGAAAGAAAATCAAAAAGACTTAAATTCTAAATGCATTCTTCATATGCCATCCAGTGCCAATAAAAAAAGAAAATTAGATTTTTTCGAACCGAATTCTACCAGTAGTCCTAAAATTCATTGTAAAAACAGCAATAACTCAGCCTCTGCAAGTGAAATTTTTCAGAAATCAAAAAATTTAAATTTCAATGAAAACAAAGATGTTGAAAACAAAACTTTCATTTCTCAAAATGTTAGTCAGAGTCAATCAGAGGAAAGTAATATGGATTGCACTTCAAACTCGAATGAAAATGAAGAAAATTTTACTACAAATGGAGAACTGTTGGTTCTTTCGCTAAAAAAAATAATTACAGAAGTAGTGAATAGGCAAGAAAATTTTTTAAAAATATATTCTAATGAAAACAAATCATTGGAAAATTTAATTACTAAGCATGATACTAATATTTTAGAAGAGTTTAATAAATTACAAGGAGATTTATCTATATTTTTTGTGAGGTTTTTATGTAGGTCTAAACAGTGGTACAGATTATCAAGTATTACTTTTAAAGATATATCAAAAAATATATATGAACTGGCTGAAGTTTTAATTAAGAAAAAATTACTAGACAATGATATATCAAAAGAAGATCTCAAGTTTCAAATGACATTATTAAGTAAAGCAGAAATTCAGTTATTGTGTAAAAAGTTTAATGTAAATACCAAATCTTCCAACTGTAATAAAAAATGTGAATTAATAGATAAACTCATTGACATTGTCA